AAATACGTCCTATTGTCAGGATAAACCAGACTTAGACAGGATGTCTAAGGTGAGTAAACTGAACAGTGAACATTAATCAAAAGGTGGACGATGATGATGATGATGATGATGATGATGATGATGGACTTTCCACACAGTTGACTGAGCAGTGAAGACAACACAACGTGGATGGTATCATCTCACAACGTCGGTAGACTTATCGGGGAAGTCGTGGCCTAATGGTTAGATTAGAGGTTAGAGAGTCGGACTCGTAACCCAAAGGTTGCGGGCTCGAGTCTTGTACCGGCAGGAGTTGTAGGTGGGGGGGGGGAATGTACAGCACTCTCTCCCACCTTCAATACCATGACTGAGGTGCCCTTGAGCAAGGCACCAAACCCCCAACTGCTCCCCGGGCACCGCAGCATAAATGGCTGCCCACTGCTCTGTGTGTGTGTTCACTGCTGTGTGTGTGCACTTTGGATGGGTTAAATGCAGAGCACTAATTCCAAGTATGGGTCACCATACTTGGCCTCACGTCACTTTCCCTTTTTGTCACCTTTTCACTTTACTTTCTCACGCAGGTTTATACTGGGCAGGTAAGGGAGATCGCTGGAGAATATCCCTGGAGATTCACAACGTGAGTATCACAGGTAGAGAGTCTGCATCCTAGTTCAAGGCCAGACACTGTGTTACATGTTCTCCATTTGTCTGGACTTTTATGTTGTATTTCCTGTTTCCTGTTATAGTTGTTTCATTGGTTCCCTTGATTGTATCCCTTACCGTGTCTAGTTTCCTTGTTATCTTGTTAGCTTCCCTGTGTATATACAGCTCAGTGTTTCAGTCCGTCTTTATCAGTCGATGTCTTGCATGTTGGTAAGCTGTTGCGTTCCTGTTTCCTCTGTGAATGATCTGCATTTGTGTTATTTGAATAAACTAATGCTAAGTGGTGTATAAAGTACCTGAAAGCCATCCTCAAGTAAAAGTACAGATATCTTACCAGAAAATGACTTTGGTAGAAGTTGAAGTCACCGTTTAGAATATTACTTGAGTAAAAGTCTTAAAGTATGTGATATTTATTGTACTTAAGTACGAAAAGTACAGCAAGTGACTGTTAATGAGTGAGTCATTGAGATTCAACTGATGAAACACTGAATAATTTATTCAACCGATTCGTTCAAAAAGCTGATTCATTCAATAAGTAAACACCGTCCATTGCTCAGAGACGCAAAACAGTGCTGTGATCTTTGTTTGGAACTATTTTCGTTAGCAAAATTGCTAACGAAGGGGAGAAGCGATTAGTCAACAGAAGAGACGGACTGTTGTTCAAATTATTACTTGCTGCTAGGAAGGAATATTTAGTTTTCTACCTATTTCTACTTTGTATTTTCGTTGGAGTTTGTATTTTTGATTGCACTTACTGGTAATTGTAATAATTGCCCTCAGCTTAGAAGGAGCCTGTGTTATTTGCATTGCTCCCTTCCTGTGCTTAAGTGCGAACTGTAGTTTCGATTTGAGGAATTGCCCTGCTATAGGCTATTGGCTGTGCTAATTAGATTAATTTACTGTGTATTTATGTGATGTCTGAGCTGACGCGGAAGCGTTCAGCCCTTCTCGTGTGAAGACCAATGAGTGTAAAGACCAACGAGTGTAAAGACCTGCGACTTTACCTGCGCGACTTCACCGAGCAAAGAAACCGGCAACGCACTTAAGTATAATTTTTATCTTCCCTGTACACACTCTCCTTTTCTGTCCTCTCTTTTCCACTTCTGTCATGTGTTTCCAAAACATTCCGGTTGTCTCTCTGCAACGCTCTAACATCACACGCAGACGGCAACGCAATCTTGCTAACCTGCATCCTATCTCTACATCCTCTACCGCACCTCTTTCTTTCTCTGTGGGTCTCTGGAATCGTCAGTCAGCTGTTAACAAAGCAGACTTCATTTCGGCTTTTTCTTTACAATCCACACTCAACATCTTGGGCTTGACTGAGACCTGGATTCGTCCAGAAGACTCAGCAACCCCAGCTGCTCTAGCTAACCATTTCTCTTTCTCTCACACCCCCCGTCAGGTTGGCCGGGGTGGGGGCACTGGTCTGCTCATTTCTAACAATTGGAAATACTCAACCCATTCTCCCCTATGCAATTATAACTCATTTGAATCTCATGCGATTACAGTGCATCATCTTTGTTATACTTCTCTGACTGGACTAACAAGGAACAGTTAGAGCCAAAGAGGAAGTAAGTTCAAGTAAATGTCTGCATTGACCATTAAACCGTGAAATTTTTTGCAACAACTGGGGGAATCATAACTGAAGAGACAAACTGACCAACAGGAAGTTTTGGATCTGCTGAATGTGTATTTTTCAAGCAATTTATTGCGGCTTTCACTGTTATTTTTCTGCACAGTGATGACTAGTGAAGAGTGTTTCTACTGATTTACTTAAACGAGTGAAGTGTGTTTCTACTCATTTACTTAAAAGTGTAGCTTACACAGGACTCTGTCTACATTTACATCATTACCCCCTCATTTTTTTCCAAACCTCTGAATTTTGCTTTTCTGCAGAGCTCAAGAGAAGATACTATGAAGAACATGAGGGGGAGTAAATGATTTTCATTTTTGGGTGGACTATCCCTTTAATTAGGATGATGCACACTTTAAATATTAATCATGCTGGGCAATCACTGCAATTAGTGCTGTATATAGTCTGTCAAACAACATGTGCATTACTACAGAATATATTTAATTTAATTCAGCTTGGTGCATTAAGGTAGACCTTTAGTAATAGATACTTGTATATTATTTGCTCTTCACAGGTGCAGAAATGAAAGCTCCCAAGCAAAGAACCCACCAGATTAAGATGTGGAAAGACATGTTACACAACGACCACAATTCCCGATAAGAGATTTGGAAAATGAGCAACAACCAAGGAACAGTAGTCACTGATCCATTAAAAAATTATCCATAGTAATAGTAAGGTAATTATTTAAATTATTTTGCCATGTACAAAATTCCAAAATTTTAATTCCAAAAACATTTACTAACATGTTGTTCAAAACTATTTTTATTTATTTTTTAATGTTTTAAGCTTTACTTAAATTTTACAATCCAAGTATAAGTGAATGTATGGGTAATTTTGCAAAATGTGTTAAATATTTTATCTACACTTATTGTATAACTGATGTTTTTTTTCTGTAATTGCATGGTTTTGTAAATAAGTTTAAATAAATTGTCCTCATGCCAGCTTGATCAAGTGAGTTCTTTAATGGACTCTAAAATTGAATTCATAATAATGTAATGTTTATATATTTATGTCATGTTATTTAATAATTTAACAATTTAATAATAATTTATGCATTTAGCAGACACTTTTATCCAAAGCGACTTGCAGTGCATTCAGGCTATACATTTTTTACCAGTATGTGTGTTCCCTGGGAATCGAACCCACAACCTTTTGCGCTGCTAACGCAATGCTCTGAGCCACAGGAACATTAATATAACATAATTAAACATAAAATGTTATTTATATTATAATCTATTTAATTAAACTGAAAGTAAAAGTTTTGGCTGGATATGAATTTTAAATGAAATATTAATGAACAGTACAGTAGATACAGAAATGAAACTGGGCCACGTCTGGCGTGCTGTACACATACGAGCAATTCCGGCTCGGATGCGGCAGTGTTGGCAAGTTAAAACGGCTGCAGCATCTGGCCAGATTGATTCGGGCAGGAATCGGGCAGTGAGGCATCCAGGCCGGGTGCGGCAGATGGAGCCGGGCCGAGGGAAAGTCTCTGGCAGGTGAGAATTTAACTTAAACTGGTCTGAGTGCATTTTTGTAAGTACGTTTTTTATATTTAAAGAGTTTTTATATTTTATATATTTAAAGCGGGTTTTTTGGGCAGTGTAGAGTAGCACTTGTTGTTTGTCGTTTCTCCGATCACAAATGCAGACTTGGTTTTATGTTTACACGGCGCGATGCAACGCAACGCATAAAAAGACAGTATAAGTCATTATAATCCGTAATTATGTCCCCACTGGATGCAACGAATGCCTCGTTTATAATGGGTTTTATTGGTTTTGACTCGTCGCGCCGGGAGACAGCATCACAATATGGTAAGGGCTGTAACATTTCCGTCACACACTTGAGGTATTCGGCCAATCACAACGCACTGGATAGCTGGCCAATCAGAGCACACCTCGCTTTTCAGACCGATGAGCTTTGTAAAAATCAACACGTTTCAGAAAGGCGGGGCATAGAGGAGAAACAATAATGTACAGTATGTGGAAAATAATGTGTTTTTTTAACCTTAAAGCGCATAAACACCAAATTGCACAAAATAATGTTATTTTTTGCAACGTCATATGACACCTTTAATTGTGTAGCTGACCGAGGATTCTATGATCATTTACATCATTACATCATTCCCCCATCAATTTTTTTCCAAACCTCTGACATTTGTTTTTCTGCAGAACTCAAAGGAAGATGCTTTGAAGAATGCTGGTAATCAAAACAAACACGTTTGTCACGTGTGGACATTATGAGGGGGAGTAAATTATTTTCATTTTTGGGTGAACTATCCCTTTAATTAGGATGATACACACTTTAAATATTAATCATTCTGGGCAATCATTGCAATTAGTCCTGTAAATAGTCTGTTGATCAACAAGTGCATTACTACAATATATATTTAATTTAATTCAGCTTTAGACCTTTAGTAATAGATACTTGTATATTATTTGCGCTTTACAGGTGCAGAAATGAAAGCTCCCAAGCAAAGAACCCACCAGATTAAGATGTGGAAAGACATGTTACACAACGACCACAATTCCTGATAAGAGATTTGGAATATGAGCAACAACCAAGGAACAGCAGTCACTGATTCACTCCATAGTAATAGTTAGGTAATCATTTAAATTATTTTGCCATGTACAAAATGTGTTTAATTCATAAAACATGTTGTTCAAAACTATTTTTAAGTTCTTAATGCTTTAAGCTTTACTTAAATTTTACAATCTTATTGTATAACTGCTGTTTTTTTTCTGTAATTGCATGGTTTTGTAAATAAGTTTCATTTCACTGTTCCTGATTTGAAGCTCAAATTCACATTGCAGTAATATTTACAGCCAGCTCTCTATAATCTATAGATCACAGAGTTTTACTGCTGACCCATTAATAACCGTAAACCCAGGATAGAGCGGCTGAGTGAATGTGGTCTGGACTCTGTGGATGAGGCTCATTGTGTCAGAGACGCTGTAGAAGGACAGAGTTCCTGACCTGTGATCCACATACACTCCTATTCTACTGCAGCTGAAGCATACAGGGAGTTCAGTATGATTGTCATTGTGACTAAAAGAGCATCTGGAGGTAGAGCAGATCAAACTCCAGGACTGATCATTATATCCAAACACACACTCATTTCTCCGTCCCTTCCTGTTGATGTATATATAAGACACTGATATACACACAAATCCACTCCCACTCCACTCGAGCTCCCAGTAGCAGCGTCCACATACACTCTCTCTACACAACACCTGAGGATAATAATGAAATCTGTCTGGATGGTCAGGATACTGCTGGACTCCGGCGGTGAAGGTAACCACTCTGTTCCTCTCAGACAGACAGAGGTGTTTATTCACTGTGTTTGGATCCAGAGTGAACCGACTGGAATCTGATGGAGATAGAACACGCAGAAAAATGTATCAACCTGAAGAACGAGACACTGAAAAATCCCCACCACAAATGCATAGACAAGCAGAGTGTTAACAAACAGTGAAGAAAAAAAAAAAAAACGG